ACCCTTCTTTCAAAAGACGAATAAGAAGAGCCGAGGTATATGTATGGTATATATAAGAGTCACCGGAGAGGCCGCAGAGAGAGAAAGAAAAAGAGAGTCCGAGAGAGCACGTGTGCAAAATAATACACGAGCTCCGACACATAGTCGCGAGCGGGGCACGCGTTTTCTGTAAGTGTTGTGTGTGCCGTACCGTGTGCTCCGTATGTATATTCTCTCTCTCTCGTTCACTCACTCGGCGCACACGCCCGATGATAGAGTCCGGTGTATGCAATATACAACAGACTGTGCAGCAGTGCAGTGCAGTGCAGATTTTCAAAGAGAGAGAGAGAATATATATGCATAAAAGAACCAATGGAGGAAATTATAAACTGCACACATCGGGGCTCGCGTGCGCGCACAGTTCAAATCCCTTCGAGCTACGCCACGTGGCGTGCGCAAGAGCGAACGAAGAAGAGAGTACCATACACAGCTTGCGGTGCGCATGAACATGCATCCATGTGCATCATTTCTTCTTCTCCTTCTCCTTCCTTTTTTTTTTACAAACGTATCGAATGCGGTATATTTTCCTATAAACTCGTTCGATTCTCTCTCTTTATTTCCTTGTGATTCATCCCCGCACACATGATACTATGTATGTATAATACTCGCGCGCATTAGATACAGGGATGATTGCCGAGTAAATTATTTTATTTATAGGAAAAATCTCTCTCTCTCTCCGGTAGTCGCTTTTATAGAGATAAGCTCGCGCGTGCGCGAGGTAAATAGACGAAAGCGTGTGTGCAAATACGGGCTAACGGTGCGCACCGCGCGCGATTAACTTTGGTGCCGGCCGTGGCTGCACTTGCTAGTGTATATACGTATAGAGCGACGAGAGATATCTTCCGGAGAGCATCTGTATTTCGCTCGCGCATTTTCACTACTACTACCGCACTCCGCGCTTCGGGGCTCTTAACAGCTCGCGTATAATTGTATTTCCCTATTCCGACTTCGCGCGATGCAGCACGAGGCTGTGCTGCTGCGAGAGCGAGCTTTTGTGCGGTAGTGTACTGTACAATGTCTGTAAAAGGGAGCGCGCCTAATTTCTCTCTCTCTCTTTCTTTCTTTTCTTTTTATTCCATCGGAGCTTAAAATAAATTTATATATACGAGCGAGGAGCAGCTTTCAAAATGCCGCATCGTATTCTGATTTCATCGCACGGTGCGACAACGCGTCGACCTCAGAGCTCTTGTGCTATTATGCGCGCATATGATATACATAAAAGTGCGCGTATATGCATGTATGATCGATGAGTTCGATGCAGCGTTAAAGCGCGTGCCTGCATAATTGACCTGACGTGCGTGCGAAGACGACGACCAAAAAAAAACTCGAAAATTGTCGTCTTCGTTGCAGTGCAGAGACAGAGAGAATCGCGAGACGCTCATCAATTTGACGAAAAATAAAAGACGCGATGCTGAGGCCTCTCCTCCTCGGAAAACTAGTCCCCCGGTTCTCGTATGTATAATACTGGGCTCTGCTCTCGCACATGCGAGCGAATACCTATAAATGTGTTGGTCAAGAACCTGTCCCTGCGTCGTCTTGGTCGTCACGCGAGTACCGATGCGTGTAGCTCGGATCGACCATGCGTAAAAACATGCCCGAGAGAGTCTCTCTCTTACTGTCACATGGAAAAACTATCGAGTCCATCCAGCATACTGATGCACACACACGCTTACATATACGCAGTCGATTGACCTTTTCGAAACGACGACGACGACCAAGACGACGCAGAAATGCAGATCTTGCATCGAGCAAAAAAGAGAGAATTATTAATCCGCTGCATCACGCATTCCATTAATCTCCCAACACCCCGTACGCATATAGTGCGTAGCAGTAGTACCTACTACTACTACTACTACTATGTATATACGATTAGCCGTGCGCGTGCTCGTGTATGTGTGCATAAATATGCGGCCTTGATTCAATTATACCGAGAGAGTACGGCCGCCGCTGCGCTGGAGCAGAGAGAAAGATTAATCGCGACCTACGGTGAAATAGCTGCAACGCAGGTGCACATATATAGCCGCGGACTCTGTGTTGCATAGAGGTAGAAGGAGAATCGAAACTCTAATTGCGGTGAAAGTTCGCGAATCGATTATAACTGCCTTTATACACAGGGATTATGAGAGCGCGAGGCTTTGAATTTATAAGTTCCTTATAATCACGGCTATACGCGTAGCATCGATAAGCAACAGGTGCGCGTACGTATAGTTCGACGCACGAAAAAAGGGTTAAAATATGTTGTATATATATTGTATATAATTCAGAAATTCGCGCTTATTACAACTCGGTCGCTGTGTGCAGACAGATGGAGCGAGACAACCCCAGCAGCAGCAGCCGTCAGAGGGAGAAAAAAAAAATTCTCGACATCGGTCGTGTCTTCTTGACTCGAGGCAGCATTGGAAGAAGCGCAAGAGAGAGAGAGACGACGGCAGCATCAAGTCAAGCACATCATCGGACGCGCCGCGAGACCGAATAAAAAGAACATACGAGAGAGAGAGAGAGGAAAAATAAGAAGAAAAAAAGCAGAAAGAGAGAGAGAAGCCTCTCGGAGAGGAACGGACGCGAAGGTTGACCGTATTTATATACACGCGCGCGCGCGCGAGTGCAGAGAGCGCAAGCCAAGCCAAGGCAAGGCAAGAGAGGCAGAGAAATGTTGCCGGTTGCCGCCGCCGGGGACAATTACGCAGATGGCAGGCAGAAAAGTCGAAGATGGTAAAAAAGAGAGAGAGAGAAGAGAGATTCCTGTGCAGCGCTGCGTGTGTGCGCAGTTTTGCTGCTGCTGCTGTTGCACACATACACACAGAGTTAACTCGGAGCACCATATACTGATTACAGAGCTCGGACGCGCGCGCGCGCGAGCCAACCCCGTGTGCCCTCCCCTACTCTCTCCTCTTTGTACCCGATGATGATGCTGCTGCCGTTGCTGCTGCCTCTGTTGCAGCCACTGCCCTCCAGGCACGTGCAAAAGAGTAAGACAGAGAGAGAGAGACGCGCGACTGCACAACTTTTGCCTGCCAGCCCCCTTTGATCCTCTCGTTCGCTGCTTTGCGCAGTGCCTGTGTAGCCTGTATAGTATTTTCGATGCAAGAGCCGAGGCATGGTTGTTAGCCGGCCGCGACGATTTAGAGGGCATTTTTTGTGCGGAAAACGACGACGATGCAGCAGCACACGGAGCTTCCTCGCGGCGATTCGTAGTACATGTATAATACGTCAAAAGCTGTGTGTAGGTATACGTATCGAGAGCAGCGAACCTTTTGTCTCTCGTGTGCTATAAACACTTTCGACCTGTGTGCAGCAGCAACAACGACAAGTATTCGCGTTCGTTTCGAAGAGTTCACAAATATTCATCCACGAGAGAGATGATAATAATAACGGACGCGAAAAATATTTCTGTCGTTTGGACGTGAATTCCTTTCTCGTCAATTTAGCTGGTGCTGCTCGCATAAGAAATCGAGGAAATACCTTCGGACAAAAATGTGTTAACAACCACCCTCTATACACGCTACATCGGTGTTTCTCTCAATGCTAGAGCCGCAGTTATTCTATTCTTCGGCTTACATCATTTTTTCTAAAAGATATTCTTCGTTGTTACACGAGTCCGTGCCGTGCTTTTTTGCCTTAGAAGACAAACGAAGAGGAGAGCTGGAGGCGCAGAGAGATTCTAAAAACTGCCTAGACTCTCTGCGAGCCGCACGCGGCCCGATACATGCATAATGCGCGCGCCGCAGAAAACTATATACGACGAGGAATATAAGAGTAGTACTCGGTGTATATGCTCCTCGGGGGCCTCGGGCTAGGGCGTAATTTCTCTCTAAACGCTCGACCGTAGTGTATAAGTATAAAGCTCTCGTGGCGCGCGCGCGCGCAGCTGCATTTTCGAATTTCGAGATGCGCTCGACTGACCACGCGATTGCCTTATACTCGAGCTATATGCCTGCCTCATGCTAATTTCGCTTGGCGCTCGTCGCTCCGAGAGAGAGAGCGAGTTAGGTATAATTTTTACCTTTTACCCGAGATACTTTGAATTTTTGCCTCGGCCGTTTAGTCGCTGACGTACGAAACAATTCCTGTTGCTCTGACTCTGCTCCTGCCGCGCTGCGCTCTCGAAATATTTGCACGTATATGAGCAGCAGCAGCCTCAGCGGCGTTGCGAGAGAGAGAGAGATGACTTTTTTCCAAAGTCGGAAGGAGATCGCGCTGCTCACATACGTAAGCGTACACAACTCGCCTCTCTCTCTATGCAAGAGAATATATAATGGCAAGCCTCCGAACGTAGAAGTAATAAATTTGTTTTTCGCGCGCGCGAGCATATATATGCTCCATTTCGTAATTGAGCGCCTCTCTCGCTCTGCACTCGGGCATATATAATGCATCGTACGTGTGTGTGTGTGTGCAGCGCAAGCACAGATGCATATCTTCGAAACACGTGTTTCAACCATTTCCACACGTTGCGATTCTTCTTCTTCTTCTTATTTGCTATCTGCCGCTGCTGCTCTCTTGCATTCAGAATGTCGCGGACTCTATATCCTATTTGTCTCATCCTAGAGCATACTTGAATAATATACAGTATCGACTAAATAGTATATTGAATTTAATTATCAGAAGTATAAGCCTGCTACAGAAGTGTTTTTCTTGCCGATTCATTTTGGCACGCGCAGGATACGGATCGTGCGCACCATAGAGAGAAAAAGAATGATAGATAGATCGTTTAACTGACCTATATCTGTCTGTTCGTTATTAAAAGGCGCCTCTCGAAAAATTAGCCCCGAGATTTATGAAACCGGAGTTTAATGCACTGCGCTTTATATGGAGCTACATCGTACACGCGAGGTAGCTTATAAACGTGCGGCGCGAACGGACTTTCACAATGCAATGTCGTGTCTGTATCCGCGCCGATTTTTCAACATAATAATTTCAACGATTATAGAAGGAACTGAATAAATAATGTAACTACTACATACCTGTGCGTACTCGGCGCAAGCGTCGATCGACGCGACGTAATCGACCACGTCGTCGCAGGTCCATCGGCCGATGGCCTGTCCGTCGCCGCAGGGCATGTGTCCGTAGAGCGTCGGACACCTGACGGGAGGAGGCGGACTGCTATTCTGCACGATCGTCGTCGTAGGCGAGGCATTGCTGCTGCTCCTTTGCTGCTGTTGCTGCTGCTGGACAGGACTCATTGGTATTTGCGGCGTTGGCACGGCCAGGGAACTGGCAGCCGTCGGCGACGAGCAAATTGCCGGCACCGGGGTAGGCGTCCTGCCGGCGTAGCCACCCTGCAAGGCCGCCAACTTGGCCGGTTTGGGCGACACGCTGCCCGGCCTCTTGCCGCACTCCAGAGCGGCTCTCGAGCGCTTTCGTGGCACCAGTGCGCTGTGGAACGTGCAAATGTTATAGTCGCGATGCGTACACAAAAAGACAAACGCGAGACTCACCTGTTGGATAGATCGAGCGGAAAGCTGAGAAACGACGCGTCCGATCGCTTGCTGGCACCCTTCAAGTAGCTCTCGAGCTCCACCACGGGAGTAGCGGCCGCCGAGCCTCCACCGCCGCCCTGAGCCGCAGTGGCGGTGCGCACCAGATTCATGAGGGTCTGCGTCGAGGACATGTCGAACATGGACGAGGAGCAGAAGTTGGCCGTGGCCGCCGCGGCGCCGAAGATACTACTCGACGAGGCGTCGTTGTGGTGGTGCTGGGACGACGACGAGGACGACGAGCAGCCCAAGTTCTGCTGGTGGTGGTGGTGAGCCAACTTGGCCGTGGCTAATTCTTTGGCATCCTTGGCGGTGGAGGCTTGCTGGGAGGCGGCCGCGGCCGCGGCCTGAGTCGTCGTCGGGCCGGCGGCGCCCGGCGCCAGCAGACCTACGAACGGCGTCGCCGCGGCCGCTTGCAGATACCTGCTGGTCGGCTCGAGGATGTCCGGATAGCCGTTGCGCGGTTGCAGCCCGAGATATCTGTTGTCACAACGAAATGAAATTAATTGAAAATTATATACAAGTGATAAATCATGCGGACACTCACTCGACGGCGGCGCTGGTGTTGTTGTACTTGGCGGCCAGCTGCTTCATGAAGTCGCTGTAATTCCGGCTCATCATCTGCTCCATGGACTTGAGATGATGGTGGTGCTGGGCCGCGGCCGCGGCTGCCGCCACCGCCGCCACCGTCGTCGAGACCTGCTGCTGATCGTTGCTACTGTTATTCGTGTTGTTGTTATTATTTGTATTGGACGACGAGGAGGCAGAGGTGGTGAGTCCGCTGGGTGGCGTGGCCGGATGACCCGTGGACGAGAGCGGCGTTACGCTCCGCGACGACGTCGAATTGTTGTCCGGAGTCAGTCGCTCGGTTTTCACCTGCGTATACAAACGGGGAAGAGGATTGATTATCGCTGATTCATCTCACTCGACGCACTTGTCTCTCTAGCTCTCTCAATCTTATTACTTTTTTTTTCTTTCTTTCGATTAAAAGACAGGTGAGAGAGAAGCAGCAGGTAGAGAGAAGAAAAAAAATTTGTCCGCGCGGCTACCAGCTTCACGAATTCTCTCTTTTTGACTTCGTCATCATTTAAACAGAGAGAGGAGGCGACCAAGTTTATAATATTGTTTGTTTTATAAAGTAGCTGCTGTGGATGATGCACATGTATACACACGTTCGAGCACATGATTTGTGAACTTTTCAAAGCCGCACTGATGTATGAGGCATATTTTGCATATATATGTACGAGGATGATGCAACGCGTGCACACACGTGAAATTTGCGGGAGTTGGGTAACCCGATCTCGGGCGCACGATGTGTATACATCTGTTTTTCGCGATATATTTTCAATGGATGTGGAACTTGGACAGAAACAGATATAAAAAGCAGCAGCAGCAGGGGGAGAGGAATCTAAATAAAGTCGTGCGCGCGGCAGTCGGCGCGGATTGCGGCAAAAACGAGTGAAAAGTACTGAAAAACGTGCGAAAAAGTTCGAGACGAGAGATCACGCGAAAAGAGTTTCTTCTCCTCCTTTTTTTTTATTCCATTCCGTATGTAATACATTATTCATTGAATGGATCTGTGCGCGCGCGCGAGAGAGAGAGAGAGCGTAGTGAGCGCAACAACATTATTGACAAAAGAAGAATCGGTTCTATAAACGTTTTGCCCCGTGCCGATGCTGCTCCGTACTCCGAGATATATCTTTGACATACATTAACGTCGTTTGCGCGATCTAGTACGATCTTGAAAAAAACATTTCTGTTCGAGCTGGGGAGCATCTTGATACACGAGGTTGGTCTTTGGCCCAACAAATGGCACAATTTTTGCTAATCGCGTGATGAACAAATTTCGAGTTTTAAAAGCAAGTGTACAACAGTCGCCGGAGGGTGGGTTAGATTCTCTAGAAGGCATTGAATATGAATTAGCACCAGAAGTGAAACTTCAGAGTCCTTTTTCGGTTCAATTTTAATTTTGGAATTTTCATCCACTTTTCTCGATTTCGAATTTCTGTTTTTTTCAATTACATTGGGACTTGTTTAGACTTTAATTTTTTATATTCTTTTGATTTCTTTTGACTTTTTTGGGTTTACTTACTTTTGACAATTATATTGTGACTTGTTTGAAGTTTCACTTCAGTTGGCTGTCTATAGACAGCTAACTTAATATTTTATATTTACTGAAATTTTTTAGATGTTCTCTTTAAGTCTCAAAAAAAGCAGCCAAGCAAATAATATTTTACGATAAAAGAAAGTAAAGCTTTTATGTAATTATTTTCACTTTGCTTCTTGCGGGTTTATAGAAAGGAAGTACTCGCCATCTAGTGGCGAAGGTTGGCTTTAATTCATACATTTTTTGAAAAATCGAATGCAAAAAATAGATCACACCATTGAAACATTAATTTTCAATCAAAATGTTTAAAGTTAATTCAAACGGTTTACCCGTACATCGATCTACGTCTCGCGCGAACCTCTACATATGCCTATATATACTCGATCGCAGTGGCTGATGCGTAAATTATAATCGGTGTTCGTGATTTAAACGCGGTTCCACACCGAAACCAGCGGAACCAAATCAGTTCATCCATGCGTGTTTGTTTTTTTTTCGCTGTACGTTTCGCGCGCGAGAACTTCGAAGTGAGAACACGAAGTTACCAAGGCCCGCAACGGCGAGTCATTGCCGCACAGATGCGCGTGGTCATTTTTCTAATACAGTGTCAGGATGAATTTCAGCTCGGCTCAAGATTTACATTTCTGGAGCCAAGCGAAGCTTTTTTCATGATTTTTTTCATGATCTTTCAGGAGATTCAGTGAAGTCATTATAGATTCAAGTCGAGGAGTAAGTCTTATATAATTATTTTCACTCTGCCTCTTGCGGATTTATAGAAAAAAGGTAATCGCCATCTAGTGGTGGTGACTGGCTTCAATTTTAATCGAGGATTGAATTTTGATGCATCATTCGAGAAACGAACGCAGAAAAGTAAATCATTATGAAAATATTAATTTTCACCCAAAATGTTGGAATTTAAGTATAGAATTAGATTCTTTTGTTTTATCATTTTTTTCATACATTTTTTTCAAGTATTTTATAAAAAAGTCAGCTTGGCGTGAAACTACCCTCTGTTTTTCTTCTTTCTTTATCAAACACTATATACTCACGGGTGGTACGTCGATGCCGTTGTGATTCGACTGAGCCGTCCTTCTCCTCGCTCTCGAGGACTTGGAGGCCGTCGTGGTCGTCGTCGCCGCAGCCGCAGCAGCCGCCGCCGACAAGTGATGACGAGCCTGCGTCAAACTCGACGATGGTGTCTGTGGACTGCTCGCCGTACCTCCACCACTACTGTTGCTCTGCTTCGCGTTGCTGTACAGACTCGGGCTCTGGTCTCGCTGGAGTCGCGTCGACGTGGCCACCACCGCGGCCAGTATCTCGCTCGTCCGGCTGCCTATGAGAGCGCCTGGACTGCTGCTGCTGCTGTTGACCACCGCGGCGGGGTGGTGTAGTATCGAGGTGGCGGCTGTCTCGGCGGTAGCCGTGGAGGCGCCACCACCACCACTAGCCCGACCGGCGGCGGCCGCCGACTGCGCGATGATGCTGTGCTGGAGCTGCTGCAGACGATGCCGGTGCTGCTGGAGCTGGCTCTGGTTGTGCTGGTGGCTGTGCTGCTGATGATGCGCGCTCGTACTCTCCGGCGATACCTCACCTGTGTGACCAAACAAAAAAATGTCCATTTATCAATGAGCTGTTCGATAATACGTATGAGCAATTTTTTCTTTCCAAGAATAATATAGACAGGTAGCTAGCTACACAGCTGACAATGGCGAAATTGCGCGGAAGCTCGTAAAGAGCCGCGAGAGTCGTCGACTCGACTCGGGCAAAATGGATTCATCGGCGCAACCGCGTCCTTTTTATAATAACTCAAAGCGCCTCACGCAGAAGTTGATTTCCATCTCGAAGAAAAGTAGCGGCGGCAGCTGCGCATCGCGGGGCTTCATCGTATATAGCTACGGCGTCGAAAAAATGTGCACTGCGGCATATTGCCTAGGAGCTTCTCTCTGTCTCTCTATTTCAAGAATTTTCATACACGACTGGCGCATAGGCAAGCTCGCGCGCGACCGTTAAGATGTATATGCCGAGATATCTCTCCTTTCTCAATGAAACGTCCGCGCGAGTGCAAGTGCATACATTACTCGCGACCGTATGTGTATATGTGCGGTTGACTCGAACGTCCGACGACCTTCGCAAGATCGGCGTGTTTCCGAGTACGAAGGCCGTAAAGTTAAGTACGTACGCCTGCTGCTGCTGCTGCTGTTACTGCTACTGCTCTATGTACATACATACACACGCGGGATACACGTTTTGCCGATTTTGCCATGTGCAAACGTTACATAGCATAGGCATAGGCAGCTGCAGCAGCAAGACAATGACGGATGAGAAGTTGTACAGGTATTGTAGCTCGGCGGTAACTGATTGACAGTCGGTCTTTATTTTACTTCCCTATGTATGTGTGTCCCTCTTCGTCCTCCTCCACCTCTCGCAGCCTTTTTATGTATATGTACGTTGCTATATCGTTGCGTGCGTGTGTGTGTGACATGTAAGTAAGTACTTATTTGAATAAGTCTAACTTGACTACTGCGTCGAGCTAGCCGAGCTACTCGTTTTCTTGGAGAGAGAGAGAGAACCAAAGCTGTCCATTTACATACAGATATATATAAAGCTCACTCCGCAACGCAGCACGGGGCAATGTATCTTTCTCGTTCTCTCTCCGCGCACGCGTATGCACTCGCTGGATATGCCTATACCGTGTTACAATGTGGGATAAAAGTAAGCTGCTGCGCTTTGTATATATATCATATATCGGTAATATTTATATACTCGCGCGGCTCGCGACGATCTGCGCTACTGTCGCATGCGGGGATAACAAACTATTCCATCCCCTTAAATATACCTATACAACCTTTCTCAACCTGTGCGCTACTATAAACTCGAGGCAGAACTCTGTGCAGCTTTTCTGCGAAACACTACTGTACTCTCGTCGTACCTGCCTGGCCGCCACGGCCTTGCTAATTGCAACGCACACACGGCAGTCGCGTATATGTTGGCCTGCAGCGTATACATACGTACCAGTACAAACGAGTGGTTTTTTTTGAGCTTTTTTGTAAACGTATCCTCGGCAATTGCAATTTATCTAAAATCGTTCGCGTTTATATGATCGATCGAGTCGCGTTCGTGAGAGGTACATAATATCACGCGTTTCACTTTCGTGTCGAGAGTACAGGCCTGTGGGAAAGATATTCCACTGCGCGCATAGTACCTAGTTTTCTTTGGACACTTTTTTTTGCCGTAGGCCGGTATAGAAAAGGATCCTCTTTGGCAAAGGTTGCGCAGCTCCTCTTCTCTCACTCGACTTTGACGTTATACCTATTCACATGCGCGTCGAGTAGAGAGAATTTTCTCCGTCCGTCTGTCTGCAGTACGTGCGCGGGTGACGACGATGATTCGCATCGCTCCGTCGTCGACGCGTACTCGCGGCATTAGTCACTTTAACGCCTCATTACGACATTTCACACCTTGTCTTCCTTGCTGCATACACACACGGATACTCGTGTGCCTATGTCATAGTGTATATACTGCAACGACTCGTCGCAGCAAGAGCGCATTTGAATCTTTTGAAGCAGCAGCAGCAGCGCGAGGACTATACATAAAGAGGCACGTGACAAATAAGAGTGAGAGAGAGAAACGAAGAATTTATTAATGTCTATATTATATTGTAATATGCCCGCGAGCAGGCATACAAGCATATTATGTATAATAATACGAGAGACACACACACAAGGTATTACAAGGGTTACTGCACCTTAAAACGACTTTTTTTTCGCTTCGTTTCGCGAGCGCGGCTCGCTTCAAATCCGTGTTACATACGCGTATATGGTGATTAATCGGCGTCTGCGCGAGGCGACGAGCTGCTGCTATTATATACACCACACGGGCCGCGACGCGACGTTTTGTCCTTGCTCGGGTATTATATGCAAGAGACGAGAGAGAGAAACACTGCAACTCTGATAATAATATAAAAGCTGCATGCTGATGCTGCGGGCTCGTATGTAAAACGTTGTCGCGCGGATTATTATGATATCTCAGTTTTCTCTCTCTCTCACTCTTTCTAGTAGTAGTAGGCGATCGTCGTCGTCGAGCAGCTCGGCGAAATACACGTTATATTATACGGTTTTAAGGCGAATTTATGAGTCGCGATAAATCACATCGGGGGAGGTCGGTGCGTGGTGTGTGTGTGTGTGTGTTGCGCAGCTCTCCTCTCTCCTCGCTTCAGCTCAACGATGGGTAGCAATCGAGAACGAGCCAGCCAGCAAAAAGCCTCTTAATAATAACCGATATTAAGAGGCTTCGAGGGAAAAGCGATGCAACTGCTGCTGCGAATTTTAAAATAATAATAATAATATACAAAACAGCAGCAGCAGCAGCGTTTACGGGTCAACGGGAGTTCGGTATATTACGAGAGATGAGTCTGCCGCGCGGCATCTATCTATAGAATAGAACTACTGCGCCGTGTGCGACGACGCGTCTGACCGACGTCGACGGACGGACGACTGCCTAAGCACAACATGACGACGACGAAGACGAGAGACGACTCTCGACGTTAAGAAGAAGAAGTAAACTAACGTCGACGTTCCACTTTACGCAAATAATCGCGTTGGATGCGGGTCTCTTGAAAAGTCGGCCCCGTACCCGCGCGTTTACGACGTGCGATGATGATTGTGTCTTATAGTCGCGCTGATGAGAATAAACTCTGCTGCAGCAGTCGAGAGAGAGAGCAGATGCGCGCGGCTTGTGGCGAGTTTTGACTAATGAGATTAGCACCTGCGCAGCAGCGGCGGCGATGTATCGATTTTGCGTCGAGTGCAAGCTCCGATCCGCGATGAGAACGTCAAAATATATATAAGTTTTAAGCGAAGAACGAGAAAACATGCCAAGTGCATCTTTTTTCGGTACCCCAGCGCGGTGCAACCGAAGTAGTAGTAGTAGGCAGTAAACGATGATGATCCCCGCGCGAGATTGGCCCGTAAAGTGTGCGAAATATCACGCGCCCGGCTTTATATTATTCTCGTGCAGGCAGCTCTAAAAACGAGGCAGCTCGGCCTCGGTATCGCGTATAGAGCCATCGATCGACGAAACTGCGAAAAACGATTTGGTGAAAAGGCGCATTTACGCGCGTAAAGAAGCTCGCGCCGGCTTATCTCTAAAATGAAAGGTGCTTAAAGTGCGAAATATGAATTGAACACACAGACACACGCGTATATACAGGATAGGAGAGGTATATTATAGACGATACAGACGCGTGGCCGTAGACTTGCCTTTTGCGCTTCGTAGGTATACCCCCGCGCGCGAGCGCGTGTACAAATTACTGGAATATGAGCGAAAGAAGAAGAAGGAGAGAGAGATGGGTAAAAGTAGGCGGATTATTCGCGCACGAAAGGCAGGCAGGCAGGCAGCGAGTTTTATAATACACAACATATATACAGCAGCAGCAGCAAAAGCCAGTGTGTAATATACGTTAATCACAGCTCGTTCAGCAGCAGTGCGCGGCTATACAGCAGCAGCAACGATCATCATTGGGCTTATACTTTACGGCACGTGCCCCCGCTTGCTATATTATATATTTTATACATATGTATAGCTGTGTGTGCGTGTATACGCCGATATGTAGAAGAAATTTGCGCCTCCTCAACACCTTTTTACGTATACATACGAAGCGCGTGTGTGTATGTGTACTTTGGAATGCGCAGCCGACCGCTCGCGTACCCATATACACGCGTGTGTTTTGTGTGTACGCTGCGCCGAAGCTCCTCTCTTTTTCTCTTACTCGTTTCGCTCGCGCGCACGCCTGAATTATCGACGTATATTGTACGGTATTATATGATGAGACGCGCGCGAAAGCATAAGCACCGCGAGCGAAGCGATTGAAATTTATATATATCAAGACCAGCGCGAGAGAGACTATTTTCGCGCTTTTATTTAATTTTTTTTACTCCGCGCTTTTCATCGACGTCGTATCTCTCTTCGTAGATGCTGAACTCGTTGCTCGTCGCCCGGATCGCGGAATAAAATTGTCATGGCGCGCGGGCACCGGATAAAATATAAAGAGACAAATTGAAGGATGCACTTAACGAGCTGCTGCTGCTGCTGCTGATGTAGCTCTCTGTGTCGGCACCAAAGACGACGACCGCAGAGCTGATACGCAGTAACAGCGGCTGCAGCAGCGCGACGAGTACAAGTTTTTGTCGAAAAATGCGTGTGTGCTTTTTTTTCCCTCTCCGTTTCTCTCCTGCTGCTGCTACAAACGCTCGTATGTGCGTGTGTATATATGTACGCGCGCCTCCGCTGCTTTGACCTCTTGATCCTATACTACCAAGAGTATAAGTCTCTCGCGCTGCCGCAGGTAAAAGCCACGAAGAGACGAGGAGAGCAAGAGCGATAAACCAGTTTTTCTTTCGAGAGAAAAACGTAAATATATAAATGTAGTCGTTTGCGCGAAACCGAGCGAATTTCAAGTTCTTAGATCGAGATTATGAGCGCAGCAGCACGCAGCGTGCGTTTTTTCTTATCTATTCTATATATAATACTGCAGCAGCAGCAGCAGCAGCACCCGCGAGGGAGAGACGCAAAAGAAGAAGTATATATACGTAT